TGGGGGTCGGCCCCGTCTTTATTTCAATTAATCCCAACTGTACTGTTATTTCATTTACGCGTTTCTCGTTTTACGCGGGCCTCCACGGGTTCAATTGACCGCATAAATGCAGACTCCACTGTTTTTATATATATATACGTACAGTGGTCCTGAGGTTAATGAAGGGTTAGCTTAACAAAATTTCTGTTAACGAATTGCCTTCCATAAGAATCTTCAATTCGGTTAACTAACAAAAATTTGATTAACGAAATCCTTACGAACATCACGTTTTGTTGTGAGCCTCAGCTGATGGGCTAGTCTGCCAATTCAGTTATTCAGTAATCTGTTCTATGTTTACATTCGTTTCCAAGTGGAGTAAATATCAAGAAAATTGTGTTTGTCACTATTTGTGCATTTTTTTATATTAAAATTATTGGTCATTCTAAAATTTAGCCATCCAAGCTCTGTCTACATAAAGTTTTCCAACTACTGTATTATTTTTGGCTCGATATATGTAACTTTATTCATTTATTGAAACTCATTTACATGCACACACTGTCCTAAGGACAAAGCTGTACTGTATATGTAATCAAAATAATGTACAAAATGAATACTAAAATTTTAGTCTAGTGCAAACTATTGCATGTTTACATTCAAATTAATCACTATCTTATAAGAATTCCAGCAATGTAAATTATATTCTCCCCCAGTCATTTCTATGAAATTTTATAACCAAAAAACAAAAACTCAATCTAAAGGACATAAATAAACAAATATATACTTCACTAGACTTTTGGCGCTAACTGTCAAACATGTCACTGTCACCCCTCCCTCCCCCTCCCTCTCAGCAAGGGTTTGGTGGTTTTCAGTAGGCTTTAAGTTTTTATCTTATATTCTGTAATATCACAGACTAAAGTTAGGAGAATATAATTTGCATTGCTGAAATCCTTGCAAGACAGCGAATAATTTGAATATAAACTTCATATATTTTGCACAAGAGATAAAACTTTTAGTACATTAGTGTACAGTACGGTAGTACATTTTATAATGTAAAGTTTTCTACTGTATTTTTGTGTAGATTTGCATAAATTTCTTCATTTATTTTCATTCATTAAATGCACAAACCATACTACAGGTTGTACCTCTCTAGTCCGGCATTCTGTGGTCCGGAAACTCCCGTGGTCCGGAACGATTTTAGTTTGTCCAATAGGTAGATAGGCAGCTTTTTTTTATTTATTTTTTCTTATCTGAATTATTATTATTATTACAAGAGTATTAAATTTTTGCCCCTCAGGCCCTAATGTGGGTCAGTGACCTATTCCCGGGTGGGCTAATCCCCTTAAAAAAAAAAGCCGCGGGAAATTAAGGTTTGTTTACATCCGGCAGTTCGGCTGCTCTCGCTCTCTCTGCTTGTCTATACAGAGTACAACATTTAACCCTTCAATATATATGAGCAGTAAATAAGTGTTGCTTTCATATTCTTATGTAGAGTAATGACGATATGTTTTCACATGTGCACACTTACATACGCGCAGTCTCACTTTTTTTTTACCATTAATGGTTAGCTACTTATATTGTTCCATTTATTAACATTAAATAACATTACAGGTACTTCAAACAATCATATTAATTATTTTACATTAATTTAATACAGCTAAAATCAGGGTCTTATTTTCTTCAGTTTTATATATAGAACCAATCAGTCACTGGTTTCGTAAGCTTTAACATAAACAATGCCGGCAGCCGTCTCGTCTCCTCTAATATTCCAAATATTATTAATAAATTGTATTGTTAATTTTGCACACACGTACATTAATTCAATAAAACAAATTCAGAAACATTAATTAAAATATATATGAACAATAAATAAGTGTTGCTTTCATATTCTTATGTAAAGTAATGATGATATGTTTTCACGTGTGCGCACTTACATATGCGATCTCTCTTTTTTCTTTACCATTATCGTTAGCTACTTCTATTGTTCCATTTATTAACATTAAATAACATTACTTAAAACAACCATATTAATTTTACTACAGCTACAAGCAAGGTCTTATTTTCTTCAGTTTTATATGTAGAACCAGTCAGTCACTGGTTTTGTAATCAACGAAAACAATGCTGTGTCATTTCCTCGTGTTGTAATATTTTACGTATTATTAATGAATTGTATTGCTCATTTTGCACACATAAACATTAATTCAATAAAAAAGACATTCAGTAATAAACAATAATGAATCTTTTGTACATAAGAGAAATGACGCTGTTTACACGATTATGCACGTCGTCTGCACGTTGGCGGGCCGTTCAAACCCGTCGAAATTCAAGTTTCCGCGTCAAAATTTTTATTTATTTATTTTTTGTGTGTTCCAATAAAATACGTTGAATTAAAAACTCGCGAAATTTGAGAAGCTACTATACGACATTTAACCCTTCAATATGTCTTCAAAGAGACCATGATGCAGAGAAAGTGGTGCTAGTGCTTCCAAGCATAAGCAAAAATCACTATTTATCCAAATAAAGGGTGAATTTCCATGGTCCGGCACCGGTCAGGTCCCGAGGTTGCCGGACTAGAGAGGTACAACCTGTAAAAGAAACGTAAAAGAAATATATGACCTAAGTGCAAACCTGTAGTGTACATGTACTAAATGATAACGGTATTCTAAAATTGTTATGTCTAGTGCAAATTATAGCTTGTTTATATTCAAATTAATCACTATCCTGTAAGAATCTCAGCAATGTAAATTATATTCTCCCAGGTCACTTCACTGGCATTTTATAAGAGAGAAGCTTAGTCACTTAAGTATTGATAAATAAATAAATACACATTAGACCTTGGGCGCCAACTGTCAAACGTATCACCTCACCCCCCACGCTCCCTCCCCCAGAGTTTTAGGCTTACAGTTTTTATCATACATAATACCTCAGACTAAAGCTTGGAGAATATAATTTGCATTGCTGGAATCCTTGCAAGACAGCGAATAATTTGAATATAAACTTCATATATTTTGTACAAGAGATAAAAATTAATCACCTGTATCACATTACAGTAGTGATTTAAGAGTAAGAGTGAATGTGTATGTACTATATATATATAGTGATTTAAGGGCGATTTAGGGGAATTTTAGGCGTGTTTCTGCCTTTATGCATTTTTGGCTTTACTTTATATGTATGTATGTATGTATGTATGTCTGTATGTCTGTATGTATGTACATATACATACATATGCAGTGGTCCCTCGGTTAACGAACACAATTCATTCCAGAAGGTTGTTCGTAAACTGAAAATTTCATTAATCAAAAATTTTTTTAACCGAATCCATTGTTTCAATGGGATATTGGGTAATTGGTTCCAGCTCACCGAAAAGTACATACAAAGTAAAAAAAAAAATGCAATTAAGTGCACTTACTTTGAGGTGTGTATGTAGAAGGTTCCAGGATGATGATGATGATGATGGGAATTAGAAGTGGGGTGGAGGAGAATGGAGAAGAGAAGGAAGTGGGGATGGAGGAGAAATCACCTTTCAGGGAACCATGCTTGATGCAGTCATTTCACCAATAAAATTTTAAGTTCACTAGTTGTAATTCAAGATTATTTTCTTTAAATCAACACTGCACTGCGCTATATATTATCAATATGTTAAATAAATTTCAGAATGACCAATAATTGTACTGTAAAACCAGGGCTGTGGAGTCAAGACAAACCTTCGACCGACTTCAAATTTTTATGCTTCCGACCCGACCTTGGCCTATTTGTAACAACTATTTCTACCATCCTAATTGTAATTTGTATGTTGTAAACCGTATAGGTAAAAAAGTAAAACACCGTGGCTATACTGCTACAGCTTTATTAATGATCTGGACGATATTTAAGAACTACAAAAGATGATAGGCTGACTTTCAAAGTCAATCAAAAAGAAAATAAATTTATTAAGAATTCAAGATATTAACTAGAAACACCATTTACATGTATATCCAAAGTTCGATCTCAGCATATGAATTTTGTTAAGCTCATAATCTGATGTGGATCTAAATGATGATCCTACAATTCCTTTAAAGTAAAGTTATATATTTATGTACATTAAAGAAATGAATACCTTATTAAGGAAAATGGATAAACCTTACATGATTAAGGTTATTAAATTAAATTTGCCTTAATCTCACCAAAAACAGGTTGTAGCTAATTGTTTGTAGCTGAGAGCCTCTGTAGTTTTTCAACTAAACAAAATTTGATATAATTCAAAATTTCAAATGGTAAAGAAGAGACTATCGTCCAAAATTAGTGCTATACTGTGCCTGTTACAATAAATTCATAATAATGCTTATAAAATGGAAATAAAATTTTTTAATAATTTAAGAAAATTAATGGGATCAGTGGAATCACTGCAATGAATATGCCTGAGTTCATATATTTGTTCTTAGGAACAGAATAGTTCAGTCGGAGTCGGGTCGGAGTCTGGACAATTTACCGACTACCCGACTCCACAAGCCGACATTTCTCCGACTCCGACTCGACTGACCGACTCCGACTCCACAGCCCTGGTAAAACGTAAAATTACTCTGTGTTCAAGAGACCCACAAGCAAGATGTTTCCTCCACTGAACAGACTCAAACAGACTCCTTGGTGGGTGAGTGAAGTGGCTGATGGGCATACCAAAAACTAGTTCCCTGTACTGCAATTATGATAAATAAGTGTTAAAATGACTAATAATTTTAATATAAAACTTGTCACACATAATTGTAATAATTGTAGGTATTAAAACATAATAGCAGTGACTTACAAATTTACACATACGGATGGTCAAAGCCCCCAAGCGGTGGAGGCCCTGGGCAGTTGCTTTGAGTGTCCCTCCCAGGGTCCCGCTACATGAACCAGTTTGTATTTTCAGAAATATGCACAGTGCTGTACATATACTGTATAGGAATCATCATTATTTTGCAATTACTGTATACTTAAAACACATGACATGCATACTGTAAATGTACTGTATACATACACAATTATAACATACATTTTATTCACAGAACACATCAGCTTTATTGGGTGTTGCAGGGATCGATGTCCCAATACAAACTCTCAAGAACCTTTCCCCATTTGAAACTTTAGGACCAAATGGTTATGCCTTCATCATCAACCACAATGGTTTCCTTGTGCTTCATCCAAAACTCCGTAAACAACTATCCTACCTTTTGGTAAGTTAAGGTTCATGTAAACAATGAGAAAATGATGATACAAAGATTAGCATTTAATACTGGTACTGTATCTTGAAATTAAACATGTACTTGATAGGTTCAAGTGATCGTTTTAACTGGTTGATTTAAAATATTATAGCATGCATTAGAAGTGTTTGATTATGTATAGGGAAAAATATTTTATTTTATGACAGGCATTGAGGCATACCTGTAGAATTGAAAGATTGAGTTGCATAGTCCTGGCTTAGTCATGAGTGGGATTCCAGGGTCAATTCTTCATTTGTGGTTGATTTACTTCACCAAGCAACTAGTGAATTCCAAAGTCAGCGAGAAAATGGGAGGTGGTGGTGAAATATTCTTAGTACCAATGTAGTGTGTGCCTCATTAAGGGAAGTTAACCCTGTGTGTAGGTGTGTGTGTGTGTGTGTGTGTGTGTGTGTGTGTGATAATAATAATTATTATTAACGGTTTATTGAAAAAGTTGTGTGTGTGATAATAATAATTATTAACGGTTTATTGAAAAAGGTGTGTGTGTGTGATAATAATAATAATTATTAACGGTTTATTGAAAAAGGTGTGTGTGTGTGTGTGCTTATTGAAAAAAGGTGTGTGTGTGATAATAATAATAATTATTAACGGCTTATTGAAAAAGGTGTGTGTGATAATAATAATTATTAACGGTTTATTGAAAAAGGTGTGTGTGCGTGATAATAATAATTATTAACGGTTTATTGAAAAAGGTGTGTGTGATAATAATAATTATTAACGGTTTATTGAAAAAGGTGTGTGTGTGTGTAATAATAATAATTATTAACGGTTTATTGAAAAAGGTGTGTGTGTGTGTGTGTGTGTGTGTGTGTTTTAATTTCAGTGAATGATATTCTCTCACACCCACTAACACCACAACTTCCCGCCTCATGCATTTAAGACATTTTTACCAAAAACATGACTTTGCTTAGGTATTCTACAATACTTTAGGTTTTGGTAATGTTTGGTTTTATCTACTGTTATTAGACTGTACATAAAACGTCAAGTAAATTTTGGCACTGACATTCTCACACCCTCACACACCACTGCTTCTCACCTCATACACTTGTTGCCAATTTAGTTGTGCTTATATATTTTAAGGCATTATTACAGGAAACATGATTTTGCCTGGAGAGTCTTTGATATTATAGGTGTAAAAATCTAGCAGGGATTAGTGCAAACATAGAACTGTGAGTTACAGGTATACATGTAAACACACACACTTAATGTCAGGTGTTATCCTTCAAAACCTTATCTTCTTTTACCAGGGTCCTCCCCACATAGACTTACTGGATGTTGAGGAAGATATACTCAAGACAAATATTATCCGAGACACCATGATAAAAGGGAGTATTGAAAATATTCAAGTGTTGGGCAAGATCAGTGTAGATGAAGCTCATCGTGTCTTGTATGACGGTATACAGTTTTCATTCTCACCAATACCCAACACTTCCTACAGGTGAGACAAAGAAGCAAATTGAATTTTATAAGTGTTCTTGAAAATGAAAAAAGTAAGCATAAGTAGTTGTCAATATGAAAAGTAGGACTCCTGATGATAAAGTGATGAATAAATACTGGTTAAATTTTTATCAACAAATGTAAATCTTTTTTCTTTTTTTTCTGAAAATACTTGTACCCTGTACTGATAGGAGGAACACACACAGTTTTCAATAATAATGTCATCCTGTTATTGCAAGACTGTGAATTAAATGAAATAAGAATACATTGATTTTAAAATGAGCCATGACCAAAATCAAGTAAAGTATTTCCATTTTTATTAATGGCCAATTTCATCTTTTATCTCAAAGAGAATGATATACGCACAGTATATTATTTTTCAATATTTAAATCATTGTCACATTGTTTTCTATTTCTCTCCTGTGTACATTTTTTCCTTGTCTTACATTCCCATGACTTTCATTGTTTATATAAACCTGAGATATTCTGGACTTATTAATCAGGAAATCAGAATAATCCAGACCTTGTCTGTCCCATCAGAACTCGTTTAAGAAAAAAGTCACTCTGTGTTGTGCCTTTTTAGGGATATTAGATCTTTCTGGAGGTAAGGCTTCCATGCTTGTACAGTATACAGTGAACCCTCTCTTTACGCGGTCAATTGAACCCACGGAGGCCCGCGTAAAGCGAGAAACGCGTAAAGTGAACAACATAACATATGGGATTAAATGAAATAGAGACCGGCTGACCCCAAACTCCACTTTTTCCGACACAATACCTATGTTCTAGTAAAAATAACATCTTAATTTTATGATGGTACATGCACACAATTAATACTTAAGAGAAATAGAGAAATACAGTCGCCAAGTTAATGTCCATTCAAATAATAGACTCAACTCCCTCCCCCTCTCACACTACACTCGCTGGCTCTTCCCTCTCTCAGAAATTTTTGGGGAAAAACCACTAGATTTTAAGGTATAGTAATAAATAATACCTCAAACTAAAGTTAGGATAATATAATTGACATTGCTGGATTCCTTGTAAGACCAGGAATATTTTGAATATAAATGTCATATATTTTGCACAAAAGATAACATATTTACTCAGAGTAAACAAAATACTTACATTAGATCTAAAATTTGTATGTCTAATGCAAAGTCTATGATGTTTATATTCAAAATGATCATCAAATTGTAAGAATTCCAGCAATGTAAATTATATTCTGGCCGGGTAATTTGTATGAATTTTATGAGCTAAAACAAATATCTTCAGTTAATAAAAAAAAATATTCTTCACAACACTATCTGTCAATCAAAGTACCCCACCTTGCCTCCCCCCCTCTTCCAACCGCGCCAGATGGTCGGTCGGTCCCTCCCTCCCTCTCCCCCACCCCCCACCAACCCTCCCTACCAGATAAATGTTTGGGAGAAACCAGAATATTTACCTTTTTATTAATAAATAATACCTCAGACTAAAGTTAGGATAATATAATTGACATTGCTGGATTCCTTGCAAGACCAGGAATATTTTGAATATACACTTCATATATTTTGCACAAAAGATAACATATTTGCTCTGAGTAAACAAAATACTTGCATTAGATCTAAAATTTGTATGTCTAATGCAAAATCTATGATGCTTATATTCAAAATGATCATCAAATTGTAAGAATTCCAGCAATGTAAATTATATTCTGGCCGGATAATTTGTATGAATTTTATGATCTAAATAAAAAAAATTATACTTCACCAGCGTAAAGGGGTACACGCACCGCGGAATGTGAGCACCCCGGGTTCCGGCAGGGTACCGCGTAAACGTGGAAACGCGGAATGTGGGACCGCGTAAAGTGAGGGTTGATTGTACAGGTATAGTTACAAATGGGTTAGGTTCCAGAAAACCATTCGGTAGGTGAATTTTTATATCTCGAATAGAAAAATGTGGGAAAAATGGAATTCGGTTCCCATCAAAAAAATACCCCGGTATTATACCCCCAAAAAGAAGAAATTGGTTCACAAACAAGTAAAAAAAAACTGGCTAAATAATGATAAATAGTACACAAGTACTGTAATTTACTACCTAACACATTAAAAACATTAATAGAATACAATCTCGGTGAAAATATGCTGCTAAAATTATTAAGGAAAAGCTAAATAAAAATTTAACAGCGGCGCTATTTGTAAAGGTGCTGGGTGCTTCACGTGTAGCCACCTTCAAGCATTGCCGTAGAAACTAGCCAGGCTGCCTCTGCCGACCCACAATGCTCCTTCCCCAGCTCTCGCACACAAAGTAATGTGTGTACCGTATATCCATGACCTATAAAATGATAGGGGTGCATAGGCATCCCCCCAATTCCATTTTAAAAAGTAACTTTTGAGCTCCTATTTGCTGTATATAAGACCAGTACCCCAATGAGCACTTACCACTGACTCAGTAGTCCTTTACCAACCATCATGAGTTTTTAAAATAAGGCCAATTACTTCAAAGTATGTCATCAGAAGTATACCCGCTGATTGTGGTATAGCTTACTAATTGGCGTCACTGGCGTCTACTATTTACCGATAACTGGAACTAATAATGGGTATCGGTAAAATTTTTCCATTTACTTTAAATGGATTTACCGATTTATTTGTTTATTTATTTATTTATTTATAATATACTGTAACATATTAAATACACTGCAAGTATTTTCTTTCATTTATGCGCTTGCTTCTACGAAGGCGATCGATTGGGTGGGAGTGTTCCTAGATCTCGATTGAGTGTGTACGATGTTCCGACTATTTACTCTAGCGTGGTTAACAACAACCACCGTATTCTATTATTGATTGTTTCATTAGGATTTGAGTGAAAGGTTACCCAGTACTTATACATACATTTTATTACTGCAAAATATATATATATATATATGTAGCAACATATATATATATATATATATATATATATATATATATATATATATATATATATATATATATACTATGTACAAAATGAATGTTCAATGGATTATTTATGGTCATTGGGAACTGGCCACTTCAATTGAATTTATAAATGGCCTTGTTATCTCCCCTCCTGCTGAGCCAGGCGAAGCTGGTGATTGCATCTTATGTTTGCTTATTTTCCATTACTTTTAAATAGAGTTACCAGGTATTTGTTTTTATTTATTGTATAATATACTGTAATATATTAAACTACACATGCTGTTTCATTCCTATAAACTTGTTTTTGGAAACAAAAGGAATGTTCTCCAGTAATTGGCGTCCTTGGCGTCTGTAATTAACAGTCGATGGTTCAGGAGTAATGCACTCATTTACTGAATATTCTTTGTAAAAGCAAAATTTAAATCAATTATTTATAAGAATAATATTATTATGAGTAAATATACCGATACCGGTATACGTACTGACCACCTCCGCGACTAAAAATAGCCCAATCTCAGCGGTCTTTTCCTTTCTTTGTTACTCCTCGCTTAAATGGGCGTTGGGGAGGAGTTGATGACTCAATGTGTTTAATACAGAATTATAAATCTCTCTTTTACCGTTATGTTGAACAGGTTTATAATACATTTTATTATTTTTAATATACCCGGTATCTTAATTGAATCCAACATAGCAGTAAGTTTCAGTATAAAATAATTAGTGTAGACCTTTGAGTGGCTACGATGTTTTCATGCCACTTTCTTGACACCACTAAACCTAATATTTAAGAGGCAAGAATTTTTTAAAGCTTGGTGGTTTAGTGACCCTAACTTTGGGTGATTTTTTAATGTTCAAGAAATTTAGATCTTATAGGCAGTGATACTCTGATTATTCCTTTATGTTTTAACATTAACTAAGTTATTTCTTCTTCTTCTTTTTTCATATTGCATCGCATTGATATTGAAATTAGTAACTTTAAGGTAAAAATAAAAAAGATGAAAGGTTAAATTTATCTATCGAAAAAAAAAGAGTTGAAAAAAGCCATTTTTTCTAAAAACCAGTTTCTGTGAATACAATAAACTTCGCTTTCTGGCGGTTTTTACTATGCGTTTCCACGTTCTGGTGCCACCATGCGGGCTGCGGAATGCTCCACTAGCGGTGTGTGTGCCCTTTTGCGTGGAAGGCTGGCGGTCCTCTCGTAGCCATTTTTGGATGCTCCGCCATCTCCTGCCCTCTCCGCCATCTGCCCATGTTGAATTGCTTGTTGATAGGTTGCGCAATGTATGTCTTTGTTCTTTGTGTCGGTGGCGTCATATGGCGTATCAGTTGTGATTGAGCCAAGCATCGCCCTCCCCTCTGGAAGTGATTGGTTTAATAAACTATGGAGGTGCTTGCTTGAGGCGTTCAAGCCTTGACCTACCACGTCAGTTACACCCTCCTGGCTACACCGTTGGCTGGCGGTATCCATTGTTCCGCAGAATGACTCAACCAGACCACCGCCACCACTACAAAAACCTTGCATTACCTGGACCCAGCACATACTAAGCCCAAGAAGATCTGACGTTCAACAAAGCTACAGAGAAATTAAATAAGATCATACCAAGAGTTGGAGAAAAGGAACAAGACAGGTTGATCTGGAGTGCGCCAGCGTAATTAACAAATCAACTTCAGGACAATTACGAAGGATGCAGCAAGATAAGGGGCGCATGAACATCACAAGAGATCTTACGGAATAGCTATGATCCAAGTATTGCTACAATCAGGTGCTTCTCCAAGCGGAAAAATGCTTGTGAGCTACCCAGTTGGGTCGAAGCGACTGGCGAACATGGCGTGAACCGCGCTCGGATTAAAATGTAGTAGCGCATTGAACTGTATGCTGCAGTGTCCGTGGAGTAAATTGCAAACCCAAACCTTTAATGCTTCTCTGGTGGTTGCAGAAGATTTAGAACGATCACCAATATTAACGTGGTGGTGAAAGCTGGTGCTGACCGTGTTAGCATTCCCTCCGTTTTGCGTGAGATTATGGAGGACCGGCTGGCGACCAGGTGTTTAACATGGGCGAATCTGGTCTTTTTGGGCTTCACAGCTTCAAAGATAGCCGTTGTGAAGAATGCCAGCAAGTGTCTGGGCCGGAAAGATGCAGAAGAGGTAACATCACCATCCTGTTTACCACCAGCGCCGGTGCCTGTAGCTCAATTATCGTTGTTACACAACCTGCGTCATGCACTTGCGCCTACAAGAGCATGGTCATATGACCAAGCTAAATGTCCGCAGCTGACCGCACATAAAGGCGTGGATGTTCTCTGCTCTGTCCCTCCTGGTTTGATGACTGTTTTAGGTTCGGCGATGAAGAAATTCTGTGAGCAACAGAATGTTCATTTAGATTTTGTTAGCAACGACCGCGCTTTCGGACACTCGCCCCTACTGTTGGATCGTCAACCCAGCGTAAAGTGGTCTTCCTTTGCCTCCCAGCACTACGTCATTAATCCAGCCCCTGGACCAAAATTGATCTGTAATGTAGCCATTCTCTGCAGAAGTTTAGCTCCCTCGAGCGACTACGCAACACCAAGGCCCTGCTGGGTAACACCACCGATAGCAAGTGAACGGCGGTGGCGATTGACGAAACAAGAAGTACTTATTGAAACATTTTTGGGAAAAATTCAGCGATCAAAGCGTGGACTTCAGCAATTTGCGGAGCGCCGTCAGCTGTCTTAACAACAGCGGTTAGTCATATGGAGATATGTGTTACCAAATTCCCAGGTGGGAGGCAAGTCAATCTGTTCAGACTGTTGCAGTAGCAGTGGGCCTTGCCAGAGAAGCTGCGCAGTGTTACAGCTGCAGGCTTCTTCCAGACCACCAATGACGACATCCTGGAGGTGATAAGGGATCCTGATGTTACTGCCGACGAGATGCAAGATGATGATGACGTCAGTGAAGAGGCAGGTGGTGCGTCATCCCAAGAAGAACGCAAGTTATCCCATAGTAATGTAAGGAGTGCCATCGAGTGTATTGAGAAAGTCAAGCTCCTCCTTTCCGACGACCCTGACGATAACCTGTATGAAATCTTCACTACCCAGCTGTTGCAGACTATGGAGCCCTACATCAAGGTGTATCACGACAACATCAACACCAGCCGTCAGCAAAGCATAACTGAGTTCTTCGCCCGCAACCCACCACAGCCAGCCCAAGCCAGTGATAGTGACAGAGACAGAGACAGTGATGATGACTTTGAGGGATTTGTCAGGGAGGCACTAGTAAGTGTGGATGACAGTGATGAAGACTCACCTGAGGGCCAGTAGCCTCCCCTCTGCCTCGGAACCAGCCTCCATTCCCGTACGCCGACCCATCTCTTCTATTAACGTAAGTGTTAACCCTAACCTTGTTTTTTTCTAACCTAACCTACAGTATATTATTCTCTTATTGATTGTTCCCTTCTATATTATGTGTGTGTGAATACCATCATAAAGTTAAGCTGTTATTTTTACTAAAACGTACGTATTGTGTTGGGAAAAAGTGGAGTTTGGGGGTCAGCCCGGTCTCTATTTCAATTAATCCCATATGTTATGTTGTTCACTTAACGCGTTTCTTACTTTATGCGGGCCCCCATGGGTTCAATTGACCGAGTAAAGTGAGGGTTCACTGTAGTCCAGGATGCGACGCCTAGCTTATACCTAGGTATGTTAATGCCTAGCAATAACTCGCCAGACCAACATAGAGGCAATTAAAACATCTAATACAGGCTGTACCTCTCCAGTCTGGCATTCTGTGGTCCGGAAACTCCCGTGGTCCGGAACGATTTTAGTTTGCCCAATAGGCAGATAGGCAGCTTTTTTTCTTTTTTTTTTTACTTATCTGAATTATTATTATTATTACAGGAGTATTACAGTTTCGCCCCTCAGGCTCCAATGTGGGTCAGTGACCTGTGCCCGGGTGGGCTAATCCCCGTAAAAAATAAACAACAACAAAGCCGCGGGAAATTAAGGTTTGTTTACATCCGGCAGTTCGGCTCTCTCTCTCTGTTTGTCTATACAGTACAGAGTACAACATTTAACCCTTCAATATATATGAACATTAAGTAAGTGTTGCTTTCATTTTCTTATGTAGAGTAATAACGATATGTTTTTATATGTGCTCACTTACATACGCGCAGTCTCACTTTTTTTCTTCAACATTAATGGTTAGCTACTTATATTGTTCCATTTATTAACATTAATTAACATTACTTCAAACAACCATATTAATTTTTACATTAATTTTACTACAGCTACAACCAGGGTCTTATTTCTTCAGTTTTATATGTAGAATCAATCAGTCACTGGTTTTGTAAACATTAACGAAAACAATGCCGGCAGTTGTCTCGTCTTTTCGTGTGTTTTAATATTCCACGAATTATTAATGAATTGTATTGTTCATTTTGCACACACAAACATTAATTCAACAAAAAAAGACAGAAACATTAATTGAAACATATATGAACAGTAAATAAATGTTGCTTTCATATTCTTATGTAGAGTAATGACGATATGTTTTTACATGTGCTCACTTACGTACGTGCAGTCTCACTTTTTTTCTTTAACATTAATGGTTTGCTACTTTTATTGTTCTATTTATTAACAGTAAATAACATTACTTAAAACAACCATATTAATTTTTTACATTAATTTTACTACAGCTACAACCAGGGTCTTATTTTCTTGTTTTATATGTAGAACCACTCGGTCACTAGTTTTGTAATCAACGAAAACAATGCTGTCTCATTTCCTCGTGTGTTTGAATATTCTATGTATTATTAATGAATTGTATTGCTCATTGCACACATAAACATTAATTCAATAAAAAACACATTCAGTAATAAACAATAATGAATCTTTTGTACATAAGAGAAATGACGCTGTTTACACGATTGTGCACGTCGTCTGAACGTTGGCGGGCCGTTCAAACCCGTCGAAATTCAGGTTTCCGCTGTCAAAATTTTAAATTATGTAGTGTTTTTTGTGTGTCCAAATAAAAAACATCGAATTAACAACTCGTGAAATTTGAGAAGCTACTGTACGACATTTAACCCTTCAATATGTCTTCAAAGAGACCACGAAGCAGTGAAAGTGGTGCTAACGTAAGTGCAAGTCACTATCTGTCCAGGAAAAGGGTGAATTTCCATGGTCCGGAAATTTCCATGGTCCGGCACCGGTCAGGTTCCGAGGTTGCTGGACTAGAGAGGTACAACCTGTACTGTAATTACTTAATAAGTATTATTAGGAGGACACATCGCTACCTGGCATTTAATTGCAATTCTCAAAACCCCCTCCTGCACCCTCCATCACACGCATTGCTACCTTCATCTTCTTGCCTGGCGAAACTGAAATTACGAGTTGTAAAATAACCATAACATAATTCCTACCTCAGCCTGGTAGGGAGAGTGCTAGGGGGATGTAACCGCCCCCAGCTGACTCCTGGGGCCGCGTGATTTGATTTTTTTGCCGGAACCCAAATTTGTATAAGTGGGGAAAGCTTTAGTAACACGAAATAGTGGTGTCAATTTATGAAATTTGTATAATAAGATTTTCATATCACCACTTATGCCATTTGAACCTGTCCATCTTGCTTCACTTTTTCCCAGAATTTCTCACTGCAGTCTTTTCATTTCCTTACAAACATTTACATACTTACCAGCCTCATGTAATATCCTCACATTCCATGTTCCTATTTTGATTTTATTTGTCCATGGATAGTTTGCAAATGTGCATTTTCTAGACTTTCCTTCCCCTCTTGTGTGTCTGTATTATCAAGGGTTTCCTGTTATTCTCTTAATACTACAGTACCTCCATTTTAATCCTCATCATAAATTCTTGTTCTACTTCATACATCTTCTTTTTCTCTGACTTCTTGTGTGTTCAAGTTCACCCTAAGGTATTTTAAGGTTTGCATTGGTTGTGGATGTTGTAATATCATTATGGGTCACAGAATGTTAAAAGCACGCTCTATATTGGGACTGACTCTCGTTAGTAGTTCAAATGGTTCTTTGAGAGAGTTTTATTAAAGATTGTATAATGGATCACGATTTTCTTTTCTTTATATTAAAATCAATGGCATCACATACTGCTTATCAATGTGTAATTCTCTTTTGTCAGTCATTTCCTGAGTACACCGTCAATCTCTAATGTAAAATATTTACCATTTATTTTCAGCCTTGGCCTCGTAAACTTAAAAAGGTCAGACCACCTAGTGATTCGAAACCAAGATAATTCACTGATGATTCCTCCTAATATATCTACAACAGTAATTGCACCTTGGCCCTACTGTAGAGGCCAGCAGGCAAGCAGTCATACAGACCACTTAACCAGACTTATAAGGGATATCCAAAATAAAAAACGAACATGTAAGTGTATTTTGTTCTTTAATTACATGTACAGTACTGTAGTGTTTTTGAAGTTAGAATATGTAGTACTGTATTCGCTTTTAGGGATTAATTTGATATATACTTTTATGTATGGAACTATTATGATATAGTTTGGAAAAGAACAAGGAAAATTAAACTGTGATCAGTTCATATTGATTGAAAATTAGCATTAGTAGAATTTATAACCATATGTCTTACGGTAATCAAGCAATTCTGTATAGCCAGACAATTCTTAAGGGGTGAAGCCCCAGGACCCAGGTCCCAATTTCCTGACTGGAATCTTGAAATGAAGTACAGGTACAGTATATTAAAAATGGATGGGACTTAACTGAAACCCATGATGAAGAATTTGGGTAAAGTTCCCCATTCAGACTCGAACTTCAAAGCTTTATTATCACTTTACCCAAATTCTTCATAATGAGATTCGGAACATAACGCTGGGGGGAGGGGGGGGACATGACTATTTGCTTTGAATGTACATAGTTACACAGTACAATACTTAGATCATTTAGTGCCACGTCCTTCCTTTTTCTTCGTTGACTTTCATTCTAAAATTGTTCTAGGTAGGGTTAGTGAATACTGTAATTGAGGGATTGATCAAAATGTCTTAGTATATAACCAAGGCTAAATAAAGTGACACAGTTCCCTCCCTCCTTCAAACCTTTATCACAGGTATTGGCAGGAAATGAGGTGATAATAGTATGTATCCCAATATAAGACTGCGGCTGAGTTTGATGGGTCAATTACCGGTATCCCCCAATTTTCAGGAGTCACATTTTGACTCCTCATTTTCTTTATACAAAAGCAACCATTGACTTTAACAAATGATAAACACATTTTGACACCCATTTTTCTTGAAAGAATGTGAACTTTTAGCGGTCATAATATCAAAAGATGTGCAGAGACACATTTATATTCTCCTGTGCTGCGTTCATCGTTTTCAATGTACAGTTGAGTCTGGATTTACGCCGTTTTTGTTTATGCGTTTGGTCATTTACGCGGCACCTTACCAGAAGCAGGGTTATGATTTAAATCAAATGATTTAAATCGATTTAAATCAGAGTAAAAAAATCATGATTCACCCTAAATCAAAATGATTTTTTTACTAATAACTGTTTTCTCTTTTTATTCTACATGATTGAAAAGTATATGCAATGCAGCAGGCTAATAACATTATTTGGATTTACATAATTATGTACTGTACTATAGTCTGTTCTCTGCAGTTTTGCGAAACTTTGATCATATTCACCCTTCCGAACAGTGGAGCACGAAGAGTTTATCAAGATGATTAAAATGCTAAGACCAGGATATGTTTCACCTAATAGACATCAAATTGGAGGGTCTCTTTTGGATCAAGCCTACGATTCAGTGATTAAGAATTATTCAGAAGAACTTAGTGGGAAAACAGTTTGCATGGCCATGGATGGATGGAGTAATGTCCATAATGAGCCTATAGTATGTATAACTTTAACAGCGGACAACCGTATTTATCTTGTTGACTCTATAGACACAGAATCAAGACACACAGCTGAATATCTGTTGAAATTAGCTGAATGTGCTACAAAAAAGTGTGAAGACAAATTTGGATGCACAGTAAGAAGCTGTGTAACAGATAATGCTGCTAATATGGCAAAAATGAGAAGTGAATTCAGACAAGATAAATCCATTATAACATATGGTTGCTCTGCACACCTGTTAAATTTGCTTTCACAAGACCTGCAAATCAAGAACATTAAGGAGCACATTACTGAAATCATTAAGTACTTCAGAAATCATCACATCCCAGGAGCTTTGTATAGAAGAGCAGGAGGAACAATGCTAGTGATGCCATCAGACACACGATGGAACACAGTGACAGATTCTATTGAATCTTATTTAAAGAACTGGGAGACCCTTGTCAAAGTGTGCAAAGAAAATAGTGAAGACATTGATAAGAAAATTGAAAGGAAAGTTAATGATAAGGCATTAAAAAGAACTGCAGAAGACTATTTAAGAGAGACTTAAGCCTATTGCTGTGGCATTGGACTGTGTCCAGAGAGAACATACCCTATTAAGTGATGCTGTAGAAATCTGGGTAATACTGAAAACTGATATTAAGGAGTATTTAACATAAGTAGGATATGGATAATTTTGAAAAAAGAATCAAAGTAGCATTGACACCTGCCCATTTTCTAGCTAATGTGATAGATCCAAGGTATCAGGGCAGACATCTGACTCCTGAGCAGCGAGACATTGCAGAACAGTATGTGTGCGAGTCTCTTCCACATTTCCTTTCAACATTAATGTCCTTCCATGGAAGAAGTGCACCATTTAAAGAGGTCTATTTTGGTAAAGATGTTGTAAAATCTCACTCACCCCTTGCTTGGTGGCAGTATTTTGCCAATGATATGACAGAAAATGTAATGGATGTTCCTAGGCAATTATTTACAGCTGTTGCATCATCAGCAGGGGTTGAGAGAATTTTTTCCACATACCGTATATCTCGGCCTATAAGGCGGCGGGGTGCATAAGACGGCCCCCCAAATTTCCATTTAAAAAGTAGCTTTTGAGCTCTATTCGCTGTATAAGACCGGTACCCCAAATGTGACACTTACCCACTGACCCAGTAGTCCTTTACCAACCATCCTTGGTTTTTTAAAATAAGGCCAATTCACTTCAAGTAATGTCATCAAATGTTACCCGCTGGTGTAGTGTAAACACTAGTGACTCACTTAAGCGTCTGTTATTTAACTGGAACTAATGCCGGTCGAGTGAAATTTTTCTATTTACTTGAAATGGATTTACCGATTTATTTGTTTATTTATTTATTTATAATATACTGTAACATATTAAGCACACTGCAAGTATTTTCTTTAATTTATAAGCTTGCTTCACGAGAGGTGGTGGGAGTGTTCCCTCGTCTCGGTGGTGGGACTGTGTTCCGACTGTTTATACAACAACTACCACCTATTCTAATTGTGGTGTTTCATTAGGATTTGAGTGAAAAAGATTACGTACTTACTACATACATTTATTACACAAACATATATATATATATATACAGTCAACCCTCACTTTACGCGGTTAATGTAACCCACAGGGTACCGCGGAAAGTGAGAAACGCGTAAAGTGAATAACATAACATATGGGATTAAATGAAATAGAGACCAGCTGACCCCCAAACTCCACTTTTTCCAACACAATACCTATGTTCTAGTAAAAATAACATCTTAATTTTATGATGGTACATGCACACAATTAATACTTAAGAGAAATAGAGAAATACAGTCGCCAAGTTAATGTCCATTCAAATAATGGACTCAACTCCCTCCCCCTCTTCTCACACTACACTCGCTGGCTCTTCCCTCTCTGAGAAATTTTGGGGGGAAAACCAGGTATAGTAATAAATAATACCTCAAACTAAAGTTAGGATAAAATAATTGACATTGCTGGATTCCTTGTAAGACCAGGAATATTTTGAATACAAATGTCATATATTTTGCACAAAAGATAACATATTTACTCAGAGTAAACATTATATCTAAAATTTGTATGTCTAATGCAAAATCTATGATGTTTATATTCAAAATGATCATCAAATTGTAAGAATTCCAGCAATGTAAATTATATTCTGGCCAGGTAATTTGTATGAATTTTATGAGCTAAAACAAATATCTTCAGTTAATAAAAAAAAAATATTCTTCAGGACACTATCTGTCAATCAAAGTACCCCACCTTGCCTCCCCCCCTCTTCCAACCGGGCCAGATTGTGGGTCCGTCCCAACCCTCCCCCCCACCCCCCACCAATCCTCCCTTCAAGAGAAAGGTTGGGTGAAAAAACTAGATTTTAACATTTAGTATTAAATAATACCTCAGATTAAAGTTAGGATGACATAATTGACATTGCTGGATTCCTTGTAAAACCAGGAATGTTTTGAATATAAATGTCATATATTTTGCACAAAAGATAACATATTTACTCAGAGTAAACATTATATCTAAAATTTGTATGTCTAATGCAAAATATATGATGTTTATATTCAAAATTATCATCAAATTGTAAGAATTCCAGCAATGTAAATTATATTCTGGCTGGGGAATTTGTATGAATTTTATGAGCTAAAACAAATATCTTCAGTTAATAAAAAAAAAAATATTCTTCACACCATGGTGCCAGGTGGTCGGTCGCCGGTCCCCCTCCCTCCCTCCCACCCCCCACCAACCGTCCCTACCAGATGAATGTGTGGGAATACCAGACTGTTTACCTTTTTAGTAATAAATAATAAATCAGACTAAAGTTAGGATAATATAATTGACATTGCTGGATTCCTTGTAAGACCAGGAATATTTTGAATATAAATGTCATATATTTTGCACAAAAGATAACATATTTACTCAGAGTAAACATTATATCTAAAATTTGTATGTCTAATGCAAAATCTATGATGTTTATATTCAAAATGATCATCAAATTGTAAGAATTCCAGCAATGTAAATTATATTCTGGCCGGATAATTTGTATGAATTTTATGAGCTAAATAAAAAAATTATACTTCACCCGTGTAAAGGGGTACACCCACCGCGGAATGTGAGCATCCTGGGTTCTGGCAGAGCACCGCGTAAACGTGGAAACGCGGAATGTGGGACCGCGTAAAGTGAGGGTTGACTGTATATATATATATATATATATATATATATATATATATATATATATATATATATATATATATATATATATATATATATATATATATATATATATATATATATATATATATATATATATATATATATATATATATATATATATATATATATTTATATATATATATATATATATATATATATATATATATATATATATATATATATATATATATATATATATATATATATATATATATATATATATATATATATATATATATATATATATACATACCGTATATCTCGGCCTATAGTGCATAAAACTCCCCAAATTTCCATTTAAAAGCGTAGCTTGTGAGCTCTATTAAGCTGTATAAGACCAGTACCCCCAAATGGGACACTTCCCACTGACTCAGTGATCTTACCAACCATCCTTGGTTTTTTAAAATAAAGGCAAATTCACTTCAAGTAATGTCATCAAATGTTACCGCTGGTGTAG